ATTCCCACGTGAATGGAGAGCAAAAAAATGGGTGGCTCAAATTCGAAAGCCCTTTGAAGGCCCGTTGCTCCGAATGGGACTTCAAACGTTAGCTGAGCACACATCCCCCACCCCGAGCTTTGGTTGTCCATGGCCGAGTGCTCTGAATATTTATTGAGAATCCTAATAACTGTAAGGTACGTCTGATAACGTTAGTTCTGCAGATGATGGATTTAAGTCAGTTCTTCAACCTACCTAAACAAGAAGGGGTCGTCGTAGAAGAACACTGTCACTTATGTATAGATCGACCGGAATTACTTCACATAAAGATGACTTAGACAGAACATGGCATACCAACCGCAGGCAAAGGGGGAGTGGGCAGTCGGGAGTGGTTAGTAGTCCCTCGACAAAGCTTTTTGAGGCGTAACCTAAAACCGAGATAGCAGGCCCTTTTGTCTTTGTTGCTTGTCCGTTAAAACAAAACATAAAGTCCTTATCGCAAAACATCAAAGTAATGGACTGTTGCGGTGCTATAGAAGGATAACAATTGACTGTTAAGCTAAGAGCTCAGCATACTGCCGAAATCAAAGGATATAAAAACTGGCCGCCGCAATTAGAGAGCCAGCCCAATCGTTCACTTTGAAAGCCATCTGGCGTAGAAAAAGTCGGTTTGGTGATGCGCGCTGTTTTAACCTACGATTTTGGTCTGCCACTACGTGCTCTGCAGAACTGGGGGTCACCGCCTCAAAAAGGAGCTAGTTTCAAATTATGCTCGCGGTGGGCGTACCAACAGCGGAGTTTAGATTGTAAATGTCTACGCTATCGCCCTATCGCCAGTTGAAAGCAATACAGATTAACTACACCCCTCGTACACTGTTCACAGCCTCTATTGGACATCTTAATAATTACACTATCCCTTCGGGGCTTTCGGTATTGTTTAAGATTGTGTAGATTGTCGTTGTAAAGTAGTCGAGTTAATGAAGCAAAAGCAGCCTTATTGCAGGCTACAAGAATGCAGACACTCCATAGGGCTCCCACTTAAGACTTAACTATAGTTTGCGGCACACTGAGGGTTTGCTGCGTTCAACGACCGCAGCTTTATAATCACATGGTCTGTTGTATGGTGAAACTGAAGAAATGTACTTCCACTACATACCACACACCCGAAATCTGCATGCAAAAGGGACTTCTTTTGTAGAAAGAAAACATACGCGTTGTGGCATACGGAGGTGGGGTCGACCTTCCTAGTCAGACACTAACCCCCATCTGGCAGGAAGTTTTGTTAGTGCGAGTCAGACTCCCCCTCTTTTAACCTCCTCCATGCGGAAAGTGTGTTTATTGGTATCACTGTATTCTTTTTCAGCAAAAGTCCTTCAATGCGGCGATTTGTGAGCGGCCAAACGGGAAGCATGGCGATGGCAGTTCTGCACAAAAGGGATGCATGGTCATCTGGGTCATTTTCACTGAAAGCAGACGATGCTAAGTATCGGGAAGCTTGACAGCCGTCATACTGCCTGACCGTCCCAGTTCTGCACTTATTGCCTTCTCTCTAGAGGGGTTGGGTTTTAAAAAGTACCTAAAGCCAAGCGCCAGCTAATAGTTGTGTAAGTTCAAAGAGTTAAAGCAATAAACATGTCCAACGGCGGCGCGCGACTGCACGTTTGCTCCTTTAGCATTTTATTACCCTTCTAAGAAGATTCACAGCAAAGCGATGAAAAACTAGACGAATTCCATAGTCTAAATATATGCCAGAAACACATAGACCAAAACGGCAGAACTGCTTATATGCATTCCCCAACAGTCGGCAGGACATTAGAATAGGACCACCTCATTCCACTTAATGTAGGTGGCCTCGCGCTGAATTTAAATCAGGGCAAATATTTACATGTCCTGACCTTAATCCTAAATTTTCTGGAATTTTACGCAAAGCCACTGGTGTTACAGAACAGTTCTTGTGTTTATGTCCTGTTGGGGGACGGAGGGGATCATGGAAATAAGTGCTAGCGAGATCGATATAGCATGCGACGATTGCTCCTTAAAAGCGGGAGATCAGTTAAGCCGGGGTTATCTGGATCGGTTTTGGGGATAGTATATTGCTATTCGGCATTCGAATACATCATGGAGTGTCCAACTAGGATGTGCTACGCCAGGTATTACAGTCAGTAACTTGTCCAGAAGCCGTGCAGCATTACGGATATGTATTTTTGGATTAAAATAAAATTCATGCATGATTTATTTCTTCTAGTTGTGAAAAACGCAGTCACCTCGATAAGATTCGACTCCACACCAGCAAAGGGAAGGCTTTAGTACAGTCAACGCTCTAACTACCCGCACTACGAGCTCCAGCGGGAGACGTGAGTTTAATCACACTTGGGTCAACTTACTCGCCCAGCCTACTGCAAAGTATGGAATCCACCAATTCTGATACAGTAAGCTCCTCGTCCAAAGAGGATTTCCTAAGCAATAAAGCCAGAATCAGCCAGATAACTACCAGGTGGGATTAATTTATTAGGGGTTTGACGGATTTGAATAATTTATTTGTCGCGGTTTTTCACACCTGGGTCAAATGAATTATTCAAATCTGCCAACCTCCCCTACCGAACGTTTGATTGCATATTAAAATTATACAGTGGCGGTTGACGAAGATGGCGTTTCAGGAGTAAAATATTCCACTGATATTTCTTAACTGAATTATCGCTTCGTAACTTGTCCTACTAAGTTGCCGTTACCAGGCCTACTTAATGGAAGTTCCGGTGGCCATTTCATTTCCCGTGAAAGAACTTTACGTTACTCGCGTTCCCTCACTAAATCAGGCTAAGGTTTTCCTTAACATAGCCTATGACATTGAACGAATGAAAGCTAATCAATCGAGTGCTACACTTTCTGTAATAAGGTATCCTCTGTGGCTTCAAAAGTATCTACTGGCTCAGAAACGGTGTTTGTTTTAGCGTTAATCGAGGATAACACTCTTTATGGCAATAAACCCTCGGTACATTTGATTATGCACAAAGAGCACTATAAATAGGCGTAGACAGTTAATTTAACTACAGTCTTTCTGGCACGGCGGTCGACATTCGGGTGAGGAGACTTATGGATCATAATAAGTTGCTGAATACACTGTAGAAATCGACAATATAGCCGCATAAACTCTGGTTGGTCTATTTATTCAGCCCAGAGAAGCTTAATGCCCGAAGAATCTAGATAATATAAACGTGGATATAATTTTGTAGAACTTGTTTATATGCTTTCTCACAGCAGGGCGGGAGAATAGAAAGACCTCATTCCCGTGATGTGTGGTAACTTTGCATTCATTCATTGTGCTACCTGTCTGACAGGGATACATATTGACCTGTACTAACTCAAACTCTAACACGAATCCTACCCCTACACCTAAACCTTATCCTACCTTAGACATAAATTTAACAAGACTGTTAGATTTAATCGCAACCCTGATTCCCTGAAAGTAAAGGCGTTCCTACTCCCCTTTCCTACCAGAAGGCCCCATAAATGCTTCTTATCCATAATTTAGCTATCTAAATAGGTTTATCCCATATAAATTTACCATTCCTTTGAATTTTGACAGCACTACTTGTTATTAAACTAACTGAGATAAACATTAGGGGTATCCTGGTAGTAAAACCCCTTCATCAACTGCTTCTTATCCGCACGTGACTCAAAGTATGGAAAATTAATTAAAGTTGAAACTTTTACGATAAATCTCTACCAAAACCCTTTGTGATGTGCAATTCCACACACCATCTCACACTTTCTTTTTTTGCTTGGCTGTTAAGTAGCGATAGTAACTAATCTATATTGGGGCAAGTTGCTATTCTTCTGTCCAATCGGAGAACCCTTTAATCGATCCATATTGATAATTTGGCGGTGCAAGTAGATTTTGCTTCGAAATTTTTTCCATTCGATTGGAGTCGAACGGCAGGATTGCTTGTTGGAAGAGTGGACGGCAACACTAGAACTACTCGTACTAATTTCTTCTTACCCAGACTTGATGCGTAGCATTCTATAAACCTCTCAGTTGAAATAGTTCTGGTTTATTTCTATCGGACCTATTCGCGATACATCATCTCCATACTCTTTCTCTCTCTCTCTCTCTCTCTCT